AGAAAAATTGAATTAAGTGTTAGAAAAATAGTCCTTGTGGGATCAACAACCCAGACTATTACTTGTTACGGGGTTCGTACACTTGCAAGAATATATTTGGTATGAAGGTCGAGATTTGTTGGATATTTTTTATACCAAATAAATCTCAAGATAATAATGAATAATCAGGCGAATACTAGATATAATTAGTTTCATTGGAATCTTATAATTGAAAGCACTTAAGTGCCATTGGGTCGATAATCACACTTGGTAGCTAAGTTACAAAGAATGATCAATACCACTCAACGGCTCGATCCATTACTTGACCTATTATTATTACTATATATATATATATATATATATATATATATATATATATATATATATATATATATATATATATATATATATATATATATATATATATATATATATATATATATATATATATATATATATATATATATATATATATATATATATATATATATATATATATATATATATATATATATAGGTTTGTGTCCTTTGTGTTTTGACACAACACATGACACTTCTTTGGCTATTCTTGAGACCTCTCGGTTGCACCTCTTTCTCTTCGATTTTATACCATGCGACTACTTTATCTTTTCCAACCATTACTTTACTGACAATTTGGACACTAATTTTGTACCCGGCTGTGTGTGATGCTACCAAAATCATACCTATAGATTTCCTGAGCTTGATGATTCAGATTGAGCATGATCGTAGTCTTTCGGTACCTAAAACAAAGGCAACGAGGTGTGTTCTCGTCGCCCCTCCGATGCTTAAGTCAGAAAGGGAATTATAAGCATGAGGCTATAAACTGTAGAATTAAAAAAAACATACCTCAATAATGGCTTAAGGTTCTATATTTATAGTAGTAAGCGACATTCTCCTAGTGGGACTCAACTAGCTGGATGTTCTTATCTGTTGTAGTCCTGTATAGTTAAGGAGTTGGTCAAATACCATAATTATATGTGGGATAGAATCCTTGCTGGAGTTAAGTATATAGTTGAGTTAGAGTCCTAATTGCATAGGAATTCTAAAGGGTCAACAATCGTAGATTATGAGGGGAGGGTATGCTCGAGGACTACTTACGCTCGAGCACAAGAATCGCAATATGTAAAGCAGCAAGACAGTGAGTGCTCAAGAATAACCCCGGGTTGAGCATATGCTCGAGCACTCCATATGTGGAATTGCAAGTATATCCAAGATTTGTGGTTGGGCTAAAATGATCGAGCATTCATGTATTGATATCATAAAAGGGTAGTGTAATCCTCGGGATAATATGGTGGTCGGGTTATCCCGAAATGTCAGTATCATTGGCCCCCGTGCACATATGCTCGAAGCCTTCGCTCGAGGATATGATGCAAAGAGGCTTAAAACAAAGAGCTCGGGTGTGTGAGCTCGAGGAAGTTTTTGAAGACAGGTGTTCAGAAGGGCCGACGTGTACTGAGGTAAGCCCTAACTAAGAAAAGGCGGTAAAAATGGTATGGGTTGGATGTAGGACACGTGACTTTTGGACTACCCACTCCTGTTGCCTATAAATACCCTCTCTACATTTCATTTTTCACTTTTTGCTCTCAGTAAACTTCTCTCGCTAATCATCGGATCAGAACTTTGAGTTTTTAGGCGTTGACTTTAAGGTAGGACCTCGAGTTCTTAAGTTATTCTTTAGGCACTTTTTTACCTAGGTCAGGATGTCTAGTAGTAGTAATAGTGAGTCTTCGTCCTCCTCCTCGAGGAGTACTCCCGAGGACAAAGAATGCTCGATCATACCTACGGCCGTGCCTATTAATGACCAGCCTCGGGCACAAAGTATCCCGACCCCGTTTAGGTACCCCGAGGTTCCTTGTAAGTTTAAAGAGCATCTAGCAATATCGACGGCTAGGGAGCACGGGCTTATGCCGAAGTGTGATATTAGGACATCAGGAGAAGAGGATAGGATGGCCTTTGCTTGGGATGGAGAGTTTGTAATTTTTAGGGACTCACTAAAAGGTGGATTTAGGTGGATTTAGATGGCCCCTACACCCCTTCTTTGTGGTTTTATTGGTCGAGCACAACATGAGCCCTGGACAGCTCGTGCCAAATGGGTGGAGGATGCTCACCTATTTTTTTATAGCCTGTAGATACCTAGGAATTAACCCATACATCGATCTTTGTAGAATGGTCTTCGACTTGAAACAACTACCTTAATATACTTGTTTTGCCTACCTTTCATCTCGGGGAGGTTTTAGAGTACCGAGGATGCCCAGTTCCTTAAAAGGGTGAAAAGAGAAGTGGTTTTATATCATACCTCAGGATAGTGACTTTTCTTTTAGTCCTAGGTGGGTTTTGCCCGACACTACCAGGTTTTGTGAAGGCCAGGAGTATTTTGAGTCTTTGGAAAGGTATAGGGAAATGTTAGAGAACCTTGAGCCTCTTGTCTATGATATAGATGACATCCTCGGGGATGACGTTCTCGATCTTGTTGATGTGAAAGGCACTGAGGATAGGGATCATCCTTTTTACCTTCTTCCTCATCGATCTGTCTTTGAATGTATAATTGTGCTCATGTTAATGACTTTTTTTGCAGAGATGACTTTCGATCCTTCAGTCCTTGGACAAGCCATGAATAAAAAGTCCAAGGCCCCTTAGGGTCGAGCTCCAGGTTAAAAAAGAGGGAAGAAGAGAGCTCGTGATTCAAGTCTCGAGAATATTAGGAGTGGACGAGGCGAACCTTCTGCGGGGGACAATCCCCGATCATTCAGGATCATGAAACTCCTATTGCCCCTCCTCGGTCAGGTCTTCGGTCAAGGAGTACCCCCCGAGGTTGTTGACCTCCAGGATGAGGTCCCTCCTGTGCCTTCAGCCCAAAATCGAGATCATGATTGGTGTCCTCTGGTGTCGAGCATTGTGGACAAATATCGAAAGAACCTCAACTTTGACGAGGGCATGAAAGCTCTTGCATCCCTTACGCTAAAGGTAAGCTCGCTCAACTTACTTGGTGTAATTTATGGGTTTATATGATGTGATCGTTTAAGCTTAGGTATTGCATAGTGCAGACTCTGATTATTGCTTGAGGCCTCTCTTTAAAAGGGAAAGACGAGGCACAAAAAACTGTTGACCTCGAGCATACTTCTCGAGCATATGAGAAGAGGATTGCTGACATGGAGGCTGAGTGCTTCCTTCTCCAGGGGGAGCGCGATGACGTGAAGAACAACCTTCAGAGAGCTCGGGAAGAGGCTGGAGTGGCCAAGGGCGACGCCGAGGATTTAAAGCTCGAAATCAAGCATTTGAAGAAGAATTTTGAAACTCGTCTAACTGAAGCTCGACGCATTGCGATCGAAGATTTCGAAAAGTCCTAGGAGTTCAGCGCGCTGAAGGGGGAGTACGCCATGGGCTCGTACTTCCATGCTTTGAAAGAGGCTCGGGTATTTTTGCGATCGAAGCCTGACACAAAGCTTGAGAATTTAAAGAGCATCCTCGAGGTTGCTGAAGACCTCGAGCTTTCAGAGTCCGAGGATACCGTCGAGGACCAGGAGGTCAATATTGACGGCGAGGACATGGAAGAAGAGCAAGAAAACACGGCCTCCGAGGAAAGAGCCGAGGACCTAGATTAGTTTCTGTTTTCCTTTTTGTTTTTGGATACTTTTGGCTCTTGTACTTGATTAATCAGTTTTTGAAATTAATGCATTCTTCCTGAGCTTATCTTACGTTTCTTGCTATGTTACTTCGATTATGTTTGCTCGAACCTTAAGTTCATATGAGAATCCATAACTCGATGCCTAGACAAGTTAAATAACTCGACGCCTAAGATGCATTAATATCTCGATGCCTAAATGAAGTTCTAGCCTTAACGTACTTATTTACCGACAACAAAGATTTATTTTTGTCATGCTCGACAAATAATACTCTTGAGGACTGAATTTTATAAAATTATTTTTGAAATTATGTGTTGAACTCGAGCATGTAGACAATTTATCTCGAGGACTCAATTTGTAAAATCATTTTTGAACATTATGCGTTGAGCTCGAGCATGTATACAAGTTATCTCGAGGACTTAATTTGTGGAATCATTTTTGAACATTATGCGTTGAGCTCGAGCATGTAAACAAGTTATCCCGAGGACTCAATTTGTGAAATCATTTTTGAACATTATGCTTTGAGCTCGAGCATGTACACAAGTTATCCCGAGGACTCAATTTGTGAAATCATTTTTGAACATTATGCTTTGAGCTCAAGCACAGACACAAGTTATCTCGAGGACTCAATTTGTGAAATCATTTTGAACATTATGCGTTGAGCTCAAGCATGTACAAAAGTTATCTCGACGACTCAATTTGTAAAATCATTTTTGAACATTATGCGTTGCAAGCATGTATAAAAGTTATCTCGACGACTCAATGACAATGTAATTGTATCAACCTATAGCGTGATTCTCGAGGACAGTAATGGCCTTTTAATAAGATCTCTCACATCGTTGATCGGGCACTGTGTGCTTGGGAATGTTACTTGTAAGTCTGTGCGTGGCTTAGCTTGATTGCTTGCTTGGGGCAAGGCTTGACTTGCTTGTGCGAGACAAGGCTTGAGTTGCTTACGCGAGGCAAGGCTTTTTGATTGCTTGCACAAGGCAAGGCTTTTTGTTGCTTGCGCGAGGCAAGACTTTTTTATTGCTCACGCGGGACAAGGCTTGAGTTGCTTGCGCGGGCAAGGCTTTTAGTAGCTAGATCATATTTTGACGAATATCTTAATTCTTATTGTACTTTTAAAAATAGACTTGGCACGCAGGCCTGACAACTAAAAACGTGAACCTTGGCACGCAGGCCCGAGAATTGAAAACGTGAACCTTGACGCACAGGCCTGACTATTGATAACTGGAAGACTAAGTTACTTGTAATATATCTTTAAATTCTTGGCGTTTCATGGTCCTGGAAGTAGCCTTCTTGATGTATCCCTTAAACTGTATGCGCCTCCTTGGAGCTGTCGTATGATTTCAAAGGACCCTTCCCAAACTGGTCCTAGCTTACCCAGGGCATGACCTGCTGCGTTGGCCTTCTTAACACAAAGTCTCCGGCTTTGAATCTCCGCATCCTCACTTTTTTATTGAAGTACTTTGCTGTTTTATCTTGGTAGGAGGTCATTCTTAAAGCTTCCTGATCACAAACTTCTTCTAAGAGGTCGAGGTGTTCAGTGGTGCGTCCTGCATCATCGGGCTCAAGCATTCTTTGGCTGGGCAACCTAAATTCAACAGGGATGATGGCCTCAGCACTAAAAGCCAACATGAAGGAGGTTTCCCCGTAGTAGTTCTGTGGGACGTTCTATACGTCCAAAGTATGGAAGGTAACTCGTCAGATCAGGAACCTCTTGCATCCCCGATCCTTGTAAGGAGGTCTTGTAATATAATCCGATTGGTCACTTCGGCGAGAGCATTACTTTGAAGATGGGCAACCGACGTTAAACTGTCATCAACCCTTTGGTTGGAATAGAAGTTTTTAAAATTTGCATTGTCAAACTACCTACCATTATTAGTTATGAGGACTTCGGTATCCCGAACCTGCATATGATGGATCTCCAAATGAAACTTCTCAACTTAGGCTCTGAAATTGTTGCTAAAGCCTCGGCCTCCACCCACTTAATGAAATACTCTACAGCCACAGCCACAGCCACAGCCACAAACTTCAATTGTCCCCTAGTTATTGGAAAGGGACCAAGGATGTCGATTCCCCACTGCTCAAATGGGGTTGTGCAACTAATGTTTGTGAGGTCCTCTACGGGATGGTGGATGACATTGCCAAATCTTTGGCACTTGTCGCACTTCTTGACATATTCCTAGGCGTCTTTCTTCATGGTTGGCCAATAATATCCATACCTTATGGGCTTGAAGTCTAATGCCCGAGCTCCTTGATGGTTCCCATATGAATCTTCTTCTAGGGCCTGGGATGATTCAGAAGGCCTAAGGCATTTGAGGTATGGAAGTGTGAGGCTCCTGCGAAATAAAACTCCTTCAATCATGCAATACCTCGGAGTTTTGGACCGGATGCTTCTTGCTGCCCGAGGATCTTCTGGAAGATTACCATGTTTTATGAAGTCCACTATTGGATCCATCCATGATGGCTCTTTATCAATATCCATGATTCCTATGGTTTGATTGATGCTTAGCTCGGTTACAATTCTAACGTGGACTGTCCTGTCAAGGTCATCTATTCCCATGAACACCAATCTTGACAAGGCATCGGCCTTACAATTCTCAGCCCGAGTGATTTTCACAATTCCACAACTCTTGAACTTTCTCTGGAGATCATGCACTTTCAAGTAGTATAAACTCATCTTCTCATCCTTCCTATTGAACGTCCCTTTGATTTGTCCAACCACCAACTGGGAATCACTGTAAATTTTGATATTTTCAATCTCGAGATTTATGGCGAGTTCCATGGCTATGATGATGGCCTCATACTCTGCTTTATTATTGGTCGCCTCAAATTCAAACCTGAGTGCGTACTGAATGTTTATGAGCATGTCCGGGCTTATGATTATGATTCCTGCACCCGAGCCCAAGGAGTTTGATGCTCCATCGATGAAAATTTACCACACACCTGTGGTCGAGCTCGAGCTACCATCTTGCCCCCGAGGCCTTGGGGTGAGTTCTGCAATGAAGTCAGCTAAGGCCTGAGCTTTGGTAAATGGGCGGGGCTTGAACTCTATGTCAAATTCTTTGAGTTCAATTACCCACCTCAATAATCTTCCTGAGACATCTGGTTTTTGAAAAATGTGTTTTAGAGGCTGATTGGTGAGCACTACAATAGGATGTGACTGAAAATATTGTCGAAGTTTTCGTGCTGCCACTATCAGTGCAAGGGCAAGCTGTTCTGCCAAAGTGTATCTTGTTTCTGCATCAAGTAGGACTTTACTTACATAATAAATGGGTTGCTGGGCCCTGTTAACCTCTTTCACCAAGACACCACTCACTGCATTTTGAGATACGGCTAAGTATAAATAAAGAGTATCTTCGGGCTCGGGTTTGGTAAGGATAGGAGGAGATTCCAATGTCTGCTTGAGCTCCTGAAAAGCCTTCTCGCACTCCTCATTCCATTCAAAGCAATGATTATCCCTGAGGGCTTTGAAGAAGGGGAAGCACCTGTCTGCTGCTCTAGCCATGAACCTATTTAAGGTAGCTACCCTGCCTATCAACTTTTGAACCTCTTTCTTGGTCCTTGGTGATTCCATTGCTGCCAGAGCCTGAATCTTGTCAGGGTTAGCCTCAATCCCCCGATGAGTGATCATGAAACCCAGAAACTTTCCTGAAGCTACGCTGAATACACATTTCTCCGGATTGAGCTTCATTTTATATTTTCGTAGGGTGACGAACACCTCTTCTAGGTCGAATATGTACTCCTCCACCTTCTTACTCTTTACAACCATATTGTCCACATAGGCCTCGATGTTCTTCCCTATCAAATCGGCGAAGACTTTGTTTATGAGCCTCTGATATGTCGCCCCAGCATTTTTCAACCCAAATGACATCACCTATAGTAATATATGGCTGAATCAGCCATGAATGAAGTCTTCTCTTGGTCTTCTTTAGCCATGAGGATTTGATGATACCCTGAGAATGCATCTAAGAAGCTGTAGAGCTTATGTCCGGATGTGCTATCCACAAAATTATCAATCCTTGGTAGCGGTAGCTGTCCTTTGGGCACGCCTTATTAAAATCTGTGAAGTCAATGCAGACCCTCCATTTACCACTGGCCTTTTTCACTAGAACAACATTAGCGAGCCAATCGGGGTATTGGACTTCCCTTATGAACCCCGCTCCCAACAATTTGCTGACTTCTTCCTGAATGACCACACATCTTTCCGGTATAAACTGTCTTTTCCTTTGCTTAACAGGTTTGGCCCCTGGGTTGATATTGAGTTTATGGACAGCTACTTCTGGGTCTATCCCTGGCATATCCTCCACCTTCCATGCAAAAATATCAATGTTGCAGGACAGAAAATTGATGATTTCTTCCCGGAGGTTGGCCTTGAGACCCCGACCAATAGTAACGACTTTCCCGTGCTCGAGCTCGACCACTTCCAACTCCTCAACGGGGGCCAATCTTCCCCTTAGCTCGAGCTCGAGCTCGAGCTTGAGGTCCGTAAGTTACATGACGTCAGCACTCATTCCTTGGATGCTAGTAACCTAGCACTGTCTAGCAGCTGTTTGATCTCCTCGAACTACTCCAATGCCATGACCTGTGGAAAACTTCATGGCCAGGTAGAAAGTTGACACAATAGCCTGGATCTTGTTCGGTAGGGGTCTTCCCAGAATGATGTTGTAGGCCATTGGGGTATTTACCACTTGGAATGGTGTGATCTTCATTATTTGTATATTACCAGTTCCTAATGTAAACGGGAGCTCGACGATGCCGTCAGGGATAATGACTCCACCACCAAATCCCTGTAGGGGAGTTTTTATTACTTTGAGTTGTTTGGAAGAGATCCCCATTTTGGTGAAAGCATCCTGCGAGAGTATATTTGCTGCACTCCCATTATCAACCAGAATTCTCTTTACTTCGAAGTTAGCCACAACCGCAGAAACGACCAAGGCATCTTCATGAGGATATGATATTCCTTCCAAATCTCTTGCACCAAAAGTGATGTCTTTAACTTCATCATTGGATTCTTTTGGGGTATGAGCATGCTGGCGGGTATACTGCTTTCACCCACTACTTGTGTCTTCGCCGGATGCTATGCCCCCAATGATAATATTAATGGTTCCGGTAGTGGGTTGAGCACTGCTTCCGACCCCAGGCTCTTTCGATTGTCACGGTCATTCCTTGGCCGTTTATCATGACCAATGTAATTCTTTAAAAATCCTCTTTTGATAAGGCTTCAATTTCTCGCTGTAAAGCATCACAGTCCTCTATAGTATGGCCATGATCCCTGTGAAATTCTCAATACTTGCTCCTATCTCTTGTGTCAGGGGGCGACTTCATCCTTGAAAGCCACTTTAATTCTTTCATATCCTTAACCTCTATCAACATGTTTATCTTAGAGGTGTTCAACCGAGTGAGAGGTGCTGACGGCGCCTCATTCCTACACTTACCCGGGGAAGCTCATGCTGGGGGACGGGATCATGTTGCCTCTTATTCTCGATCTTTTCATGGAAAGGACCATGTCTTCTTGGAATTAGTATTTCCTCCATATTAATGTATTTTTCAGCTCGGGTGAAGAGCTCGATCACTGTCTGCGATGGGGTCTTTGATAAAGACATCTTGAAAGCTTCACATCTTACGACATAAGTGAGGATGGAGACAGCTGCTGTGATGTGAAGGTCGGGTGAAGCCTTTCCTTGTTAAACTTTGTCATGAATCCTCGTAGGGTCTCAGTTGGTCCCTGGCGAAGTTGCATGAGAGAGGCCACAGTCTTCCTGATTTGCTTGCTGCTTGCAAAGAAGGCTGAGAACTTATCAGCCAAATTTGAGAATGAGGCTATGGAGTTGGGCTCCAATGTCAAGAACCAATCTCTAGCAGCATTAGTCAGTGTTTGTGGAAAGGCTTTGCACATAACCTGATCTGGCGCAACTTGCAAGTTCATGACATCAGTGTATACATTGAGATGGTTGATGGGGTTGGTCGTCCCATCATACTCTTTAACGCGAGGATATTTGAATCTATCAGGCAAGGGATATGATAATGTCTCTGGCGTGAATGGAGTGTTAGGGATGAAACCTACTGGCCCCTGAGCATTCTGTTGTAGGCCAGCTGTAATTCCTTCTTGAATAATCCGGGTAATTTCACCGGAATCCATGGCGACCGATATCGACCCCGAGACCATAATGTGAGTACCCAAGGTTCCTACTCCGCCAGTTGCGAGGTATGGTGGTCGTGCTCAAGCATCAACCATAAAATCGCCATGCTCCACTTGCGCTGGCGATGGATGTGAATTTCTTTGACTTAAGAGTTGCGTGAGCATGACCACCTACTGACCGAGCTCTTCAAAGGCTTGGGTTGTGATGACCGCTGGCAGAGGTGCGAGCACTCTTGACGATTCTTCATGGGGAGCTAGTTGATCTTCGACAGGATAAGGGATGGGAGCGGATGAGCTTGCGGGAGGAAGACTTGATCGTGTGTTAACCATGGCTTTTGGTAGTGTTTCCCACAGATGGCGCCAATGATGTTACCAAAAATTGTACCTATAGATTTCCCGAGCTTGATGATTCAAAATCTCGGATTGAGCACGATCGTACTCTTCCGATACCTAAAACAAAGGCAATGAGGTGTGTTCTCGTCGCCCCTTCGATCCTTAAGTCAGAAAGGGAATTATAAGTGTGAGGCTATAAACTAGAGAATAATGAAAAACGTACCTGAATAATGACTCAAGGTTCTGTATTTATAGTAGTAAGCGACATTCTCCTAGTGGGACTCAACTAGCTGGATGTCCTTATCTGTTGGAGTCCTGTAGAGTTAAGGAGTTGGTCAAATACCATAATTATATGTGGGATAGAATCCTTGCGGGAGTCAAGTATATGGTTGAGTTAGAGTCCTAATTGCATAGAAATTCTAAAAGGTCAACAATCGTAGGTTGTGAGGGGAGTGTATGCTCGAGCACAAGAATCGTAATATGTAAAGCAGCAAGACAGTGAGTGCTCGAGAATAACCCCCAGGTTGAGCATATGCTCGAGCACTCCATATGTGGAATTGCAAGTTTATCCAAGATTTGTGGTCGGGCTAAAATGATCGAGCATTCATTTATTGATATCATAAAAGGGTAGCGTAATCCTCGGGATAATATGGTGGTCGAGTTATCCCAGAATGTAAGTATTAGTGTGTATTCCCCTCTGTTTGCTGCATCGTTTTGTCCCCTGTTTCGTTGCCTATCTGTGCAATTTCGACTGGGTTTTAGGTATCTTTTGTGGTCCATTTTGAGTGGATAATCTTGGTCCAATTTTTGTGGTGTTGCTGTGTCCTGTGTGGTCTTCAGTTCTTGATTTGAGCATTGACCCATCCACTTTTGGTGCCAAACATCTGGAGCTTTGATAGGGAAGTTTGTTTCTTAATGTACTTTGCTTATTTTGGTGCATAGTCAAATTATTTTGTCTAGGTGCATTTATCACTACATTCATGAAAAGGAGGACAATACGTGAACCAAGCCTTTCAAAGGACACAACAATAACACTACGGATGAGAATGATACAAAAAAGTCAAATGTTTGGACGGGAACGAGAACGATACAAAGAAACTATGGCTATATTTGATAGTCCAATTTTTTTCATGGAAAATGGAAAACAAATTCCAAATTTCACTTTTGATCCGTTTGATTGACAAAATTTTCTAGGAAATTGATTTCCCTACTTTGGCCGCCAAGTTAGCATATTCTAGGTTTTCATCGCTTTTCAATTCCTACTAGATGATGGGAATTAGTTTTCCTTGTTTTCATTTTTCTTTTTAATCTTTTTTAATTTTTTTCAATTTTTCTGCAATTGAAACAAATTCTAGAAACAATTAAAAAAAAAAAAAGACATCCCTTAAATTGATAATTTTCATGTAAAACAAAGCCAAACGAGATAAATGATTTTTGAATATTTTTGGTTTTCTTGGATTTTTTTGTTTTTTTTTGGGAAACAAATTCTAGGAGCAATTGTAAAAAAGAATATCCCTTAAATAGACAATTTTCATGAAAAATAATGCCAAACGAACACGAAAAGACACTTTTATTTCAACATTTTTCAGGTGGAAAATTATAACAATCAAACACAATAATTAACAATTCTCAATAAAACAATTTCTAGGCAATTCAATTCCCTATAATTTGTTTTTTTTCCATCCAAATTTCATTTTTGCAATCAAACGGACCCTAAATTAAAGAAACTACTTACAGATCATAACAGTGCAAAATGATTTTATTTTTATTTTTATTTCATTTGACAAAATGGTTTATCAATCATTTTAACAAACCCAATTAGACAAATAGTCAAATCTAACAAATGCAAATACGAAAAATAAATTCTTAAAACAAAAATTTATATGGAAAACCTTCCAATTCAAAGGGAAGAGTTTCCGGATCTAACATTATTTCTTTGACTTTCAATGTGGATTACTCTCTCTCTCTCTCTTCTCTCTTCTCTCTTCTCTCATAAACCTCTTTAGAGTGACATCACAACTAATGAGTAAAAAAAGAAAAGTGAAGTGGTAAGTAAAATGTGAAGTTAGCAAATTCAATTGGAAACTTACTGATTAGACTGCCACTTGTCGCTAAAAAGACAATGACTAAAGGAAATTCTGCAATTTTTTTTTTGAGAAAAAAGCAACCAAAAAACTGTTTAGAAGACAATGAGTCGTGTGAGATAAATCCTATCCAATTTGTAGCTTTGGGCGTTGGTACAGAAATTCTTAGTAAGAACCACAAAAATAGCATTGTATAACAAAAAAGGCAGCGGAAGTAATCCCCTGGAAAGTTGGCAGCGTGGTTTTTCGGCAAAGCGTCGTCGCCAAAGTAGAAAAATCTCCTCTACACGTACCATATAAGAGATGGCTGCAAGTTTAACGGCACTGGCAGCAGAGAATGGATCCCTATGAGCAATGATAGCAGAATATTTGGATAAATCACCATCATAGGCAAGATGTTCTATTTAATTGAAAATTAAAAGAGTTGTGGACATAAGTGCTAAAGTGAACAAATATTGTGGACCTTTACTATTATTAAAATGTTGAGCAAATAATAAATCCTCTAGTATTAATATAAGGATAAAGCTACTTTATCAAGAAGATTAGACAGAAAGCTTGACAAAATTACATATGGCAGTAGATGATTGGATAAAAAAAGCTGATCATATTTTGAACTATCAAACAATAGAATGCCATGTAGTATTGTGTCAAATTTTATGTCAACTTTGTTGTTCATATAGTGTGATTGTAATATAATTATTAGAAAAACATAAACAATACTATTTGATGTGCCAAAAATTGCCTTAAATATGATCAATTATTACGAAAGGCAGCCATTGGAAATGCCATCATAAATAATGTAATATGAACCATCTGGCACGGTATTTGGGGTTGTATAAAGCCTAGTTTTAAAATAATAATTGATGTCATAAATAATTTTATTTACAGTTTTTTTTTTCCCCTAGTAGAGTACGCAGAATCATGTTGGCAACTCGAACAATTCTTTAAGTTGTGTAGATTTCTTGTCCACGCCATTCATGACAAACTCTAATGACACAAGAAGGATGGTGGTGATTGGTGAAATTTCTTCGAAGAAATCGTCCATTTCCCGTTACACCCAAGACCAAAAGGCCTAATCCAACTTGTCAACGTCTATAACATACTCCCTTCTTCAATCCCAAATCCATTTTCCCCTAAAAAGTTCTCTGAAGATCATGGATAGGGACCAAGAAGAAATTCAGTTTGTGGGGTTCTTTGGAATCTTCAAAGAATCATACAATATAGTTACTTCATGGGGAAAAATTTTCAGTCAAATAACCTTAGCCTTGATCCTTCCTCTTTCCTTCATCTACTTAGCACACATCCAAATCTCAGAGCTCCTATTTGCAGATATCATGAACAATGAATCCACGTTTAATATAACTCCAGCGGGTACTTCTTCATATAACACAATTATGAGTATTTTATCATCTAAATTGACTGCCTATACTTTGTTCAAGATCGGCTACTTGATTTTCTTCATCATTCTTGCCCTTCTTTCTACATCTGCTGTTGTTTATACAATAGCATGTATTTATACTGGCAAAGAAATTAGCTTCATAAAGATTATGAGTGTGGTTCCAAAGGTTTGGAAGAGGCTTATGGTTACGTTTATATGGAATTTTATTATTCTCTTTGCATTCAGTTTCATTGCAGTCTTGATCGTGATTTTACTTTTGAGTCTTTATTTGCTCGGATCATCTGACAAAGTTGTGGATAATCTCGCCTTACTTTTTATCGTCATATACTTCATTGGATCGGTATATGTCAGTGTAATATGGCATCTGGCAACCGTGGTTTCGGTTCTGGAAGAAAGTTATGGCCTTAATGCCATGGCAAAAAGTCGGGCTCTGATCAAGGGGAAAATGGGACTTTCTGTTGGTATTTTTCTTCTATTTGGTCTATGCTTTTCAGGAATTCAGATGTTTTTCAAAAATCATTTCGTGATTAAGAAGAGAGATATTGGACTTCTAAACAGAATAGGGTATGGAAGTTTATGCCTGTTTTTGCTGTCAATTTTGATGCTATTAGGCCTCATCATGCAGACAATAATCTATTTCATCTGCAAGTCGTATCACCACCAAAACATCGATAAATCATCGTTAGCCGATCATCTTGGAGGGTATCTTGGAGAATATGTTCCTTTAAAGACTAAAGATGTTCAACTGAAGCAATATGAAGTTTGATTATGGGATATTTCTGATATGGTTCTGTTTGCATCAATTTACATACAATCTTGTACTATGTAGCAAATAATGAACTGTGAAACTGAATTGCTCAATTACTTTTGCAATATATTGGCTTTTTCTTGCTTTATTTACTTTTATTCTCTGTAAAATTGGTTTTTCTACCTATAATCAGCCTAAGATGTTAAGTTCCTACATTTTACAAATTTATAAATGGTTTATAAAAATGAATAACATTAGATCCCACGTGTAGATAATAATGAGTAATTCTTTATAAATGTGTGATTAAAATTAGCGTTTAACTTTGAATAAATTTATTAATCATTTATAAATTGGTGTTAGGAAGGGAATATCTAAAACTAGCCTGTCACGTGAATACCGATGTCATTTAAAGTTTGACATATCCATTATCATAAAATGAAGCAGGATGAAAAAATATATATATAAAAAATATAAATAAAATTAATTAATTAATTAATTAAATTACACTATGATGAGGATAATACAAATAATAATAATAATAACAAATAAAAAAATAAATACTGTTTGGATGGGAACTACCAAATTAAACTAAAAAGAAAAAAGAAAAAGAAATCACTTTACTCATCAATAACACTGCTAAATGATTTTTTTATTTTTTCAATTAGGGTCACAAAATGGTTTAGATTAATTTAAATACCCAATAAGACACAGAGTCAACTGACTTAAATCTAGCAAATGCAAATAAGATTCTAAAACCCAAACTTATGTAGAAAACCTTCCAATTCGAAGGGAAGAGAAGACTTCCCATAGGGTGTCTCTCTAGCTAGAGAAGACTAGACACTCACAATATGCAATTCATCTGTAGTAACTCATCATGTATCAGTACACTCTAAAAATCAAAATTTTATCAAAATGGAAAGATGAGTTTGACATGATTATTGTAGCGCACGTTACTAGAATTTTCAGTTAAAATTTCTGTGGTAATACCTTTTGCACTTCCTAATTGTTCTTACAGAGGTTAATTGTCTTGCTAAGCTCTTTTCTGTTTCCTTACTTTTTCTACCGATTTTTTGCACCACAATCCGGATGCTTGACTTTGCAAGACCATCTAGAAATTGTCTTTTGTTGGTATTATTCTTTTATAATTTATCATCTGGTTTTCTTATTTGCTATTATTCTTCCATATGCAATTACATTATTATGCAACCGCATTTAGCTCATCAGGATTGTTGTATTAATTGCTCTTTTTTGCATTGAGGATCACTAAATTGATGTTAGTTTCTGTATGCATTTTGGTATTGGCATTTCAAGTGTTATGGCTGATCACAGTGCTTGGCAGCATCAGAAAAGAGCCGCTGACAGAAGTTTGAGTTCTAGAGATGTTTAAACAAACTGAAATTTTGAGAAATCTTCTTATGAACTTTTAGAATCCATGTAATTTCATATGCTATATTGTGCTTGACTATGTATATCTATGGTGGATCAGTGCTACATTCTGGATAATGAGGAAAGCGGCCATGGATTCAGAGCCAGGCAGATGTCTGAGGACTGACACTAAGAAATGGCGGTGCTCATGGGCTGTAGTTGCTAGGTGTAAGTACTCTGAGTGCCATGTCCTATGTGACCGCAACTGTTCAAGAAAACCTGTGAAAATCCCCATTTCCCCCAATACTCTCTATGGTTTGATATTGTACCATTATTTTGTATTTTATGTTAATTTTTTTATTTAATAGACAATATGCAAATCAAGAATTTTTTTTCGATTTATTGCAATGATTTGTTCTATATTTATTTCGTATGAACTAATGAAATTATATCAATTTCATGCAGGCCCAAATAATTATTTTATTTATTTTTTTTAATTTTTGTGATCGATTTGTGTAAATAGCTTTACAGATAAAAAAAAAATGCAAAATTTTTAAAAATATATAAAATGACCTATGACAACGGTAAAAAATTGTTGCAAAAAATAAAGATATAAGTACAGACAACTTCAACAAATATTGCAAAAGTGTTAATAGCAACATTCAAAAACCGTTTCAAAAACATTGTTAGCAATATTCAAAAAAAATTACAAAAAATTTAATAGCAATATTTTTTAAATATTGCAAAAACATTATTACAATATTCAAAAAAATGTTGCAAAAAGGTTATTAGCAACATTCAAAAAATGTTACAAAAAGTTATTAACAACATTCAAAAAAGTTACAAAATGGATATTAGCAACATTTAAAACACGTTGTATTCTCATATTCTACGGCAACATCGAGATTTGCAACATACATTCGAACGTTGTAAAAATACGTTGCAAAAGGTTTTTTTTTTTTTTTTTTTTTTTTTTTTTGGGGGGAAAAAAACACCCCAATACAAAAAAAAAACACTTAATAGCAAATCAAGAATTTTTTTTCGATTTATTGCAATGATTTGTTCTATATTTATTTCGTATGAACTAATGAAATTATATCAATTTCATGCAGGCCCAAATAATTATTTTATTTATTTTTTTTAATTTTTGTGATCGATTTGTGTAAATAGCTTTACAGATAAAAAAAAAATGCAAAATTTTTAAAAATATATAAAATGACCTATGACAACGGTAAAAAATTGTTGCAAAAAATAAAGATATAAGTACAGACAACTTCAACAAATATTGCAAAAGTGTTAATAGCAACATTCAAAAACCGTTTCAAAAACATTGTTAGCAATATTCAAAAAAAATTACAAAAAATTTAATAGCAATATTTTTTAAATATTGCAAAAACATTATTACAATATTCAAAAAAATGTTGCAAAAAGGTTATTAGCAACATTCAAAAAATGTTACAAAAAGTTATTAACAACATTCAAAAAAGTTACAAAATGGATATTAGCAACATTTAAAACACGTTGTATTCTCATATTCTACGGCAACATCGAGATTTGCAACATACATTCGAACGTTGTAAAAATACGTTGCAAAAGGTTTTTTTTTTTTTTTTTTTGTTGTAGTGTGAGGTAAAAGACAACCCAATACACACAACAAACACTTAATAGTGTGTCTTCCACTAAAATTTTAGTAAATTTTATAAGGGTGTGAAACCAGGAATGAATTCTTATTTCCATTAAATTTTGAAATCGGATGGCTAAAGTCCTTTTCAGGAATCAGAACTGGAACAAGAAACCAAACCCAATCCCCATGCTTATTTATGCATTCTTATGTTGAAACTCTACTCATCAATTGAAATATCTCTAATTATAAAATATTTAGTGCATGTTTTATAAGTAATGTTATTATAATGAAACGATTTTATTCTCAAATTGAACTAATTTTAATATATTTATTGATTTTACTTTGTAGATTGCAATTTTGTTCAATTTTTCAAATGGAACTAATTTTTTATTTGTTGATATTTATTTACTTGATTTTGTAGATTGATGAAATTTATTCTTTTAAAAGACAAAGTTGTGATTTTTTTTTTCCAATGAACGATAATGTTTTAGATTTTATTTTTCTTAATTAAGTTATAATTTTTCTTTAATGATCTATTAAGAAATATCATGTTCCTATGAGTCCAAGATCCATTAAGATCCAACGAATTTTGTTAAAATCTAATGAATATCGCGGAATCAAATCAAATCAAATCCATGAGAATTCATAGATCTTAAAAAGTCTACTGATCTCTAGTTACTGCTTTATACATATTTTAACTTTTATGTTGATATGATATGATTACTGTTCGATTAACTTTCGAGGAGGCCCCTGCTGGTCAATCTCAACGTGAGTCTAAACGTACATGTAAATCCCAAAATCAACTTATTAACTGTTGCTATTTTTCCCCCTAACACCCTGATTTATTGGCTGAAGCTAGAGCCGGTCCTATGGTTGTCGGGACCCGAGGCGAAGTCCAAAAATTAGGCCCCCAAAATCAACGTAAATACAAAATTCAACGATATATTATACAACATATTGTTAATTTAAAACTTAAGATTAAAACAACAAACAAATATTTCAATTATCTCACAATTAATGAAAAAACTATTTTTCCTCTTCCTATTCATTCTTTAAAAAATAAATAAATAAATAGATAAAAATAAAAAAAAATTAAAAAAATTAAATTGGGCCAGAATAGGCCCTTTGTGATTTTGGGCCTAAGGCACAGGCCTTATTTGCCTATGCCGATGACCAGCCCTGGCTGAAGGGTGAAGGTTTATTTTCAACCTCCTATTCTAGCCACTCTCTATGCATTAATATTGACTTTAGGCCTTAGGTCTATTCGGGGGAAAAACAAAAAGAATGGAACTATAATAATAATTCATAGGTTTCAATTCTCTTCAATTCCATAATTAATTTGTATTTGAATTGGTGGTTGCAAAGCATTATCGCTATTGTAACATTATTTGTGTTAAGTAAGAAAATTGAAACCCCAAATCCAAGTGCTATATAAGGAGGTGCTCTCCTTCTTATTCTACACACCAAACTTTGAGAGCTCTCTAAGTTCTCTATAAATTTTCCTATTCTCTCTTTGTTTTCAAGAGTCTTGTTCTTAGTAATCTAGATAATTATTTTCTAGATTAGTCATAGAATTTTGAGCATTCTTAGTTCGCCTAGTGACGAGGTGTTGGTAAGCCACGTTCAACTGTTGCATCCTGAGAAACAGAAGTGTCATCAGTCCTCTTGTACAATAGCAAAGGACGAATATGTTTTAAGGAAATTGTATAAAACAAAGGCCTCGATTTCTTCTAATACTACTACTACATCAATGATTAGATTTTCCCTCTTTCATTGTTACTCTGTTTATTGTAATATTTCTTTTTATTATTTTATAATTTCAACGGTATTCGTAATTTTCTTTGATATTTTTCTTAACATGGTCCACTATAAAAATTGGCCATACACCCAATAAATCTAGGGAAATTGCACTAGTTGTATATTGTCAAATTTAAATTTCACTATTCACCACTTTGTTTTTAAAAATAATCGTGCTTGGCGTACAATGTTCGATGACAACTTAGTTGACAGCATACCACATGACATGTTG